CCAAGAGTGAGGCAGATGAAAGATGGATCAAATGAGCCAAAGCTGTTGACGGGAAACGAAAAACCTCTTGATTACTTTTCTGCTTCAGTGGGATTGAAGGTTGTCAATGAAAACATTTAGACCTGAGGATGTGTTTGAATCAGTATGTGTTTATAAAAAAGATTAAATTAATTAAGGGTAAAGGGTAAAATAGCAGTTTGCTGAGCATGCTTGTTTTATTTAATGATCTCAAAATAGGATAATATTCCTGCAGTTACATTGCTTTCCATCTTTGAGCATCCCGGTGTAACTACAGTCCTTTGCTGTGGGCAGCTGAGCAGCTCATTGGAACAGTTGTTCGTAAATGAGATGTTTGGAATGTTTGAGGAGTGGATTGACCATGATTGACTGTAATTCAAAACATCAAGAAGATTTAGCATGGGAAAAAAAGCAGGTAAGCTTCTCCAGCTCTTTGTGGCGGAGTGATCAGAATCTGAGTTTAGTGTAAAAAAGAGAACTTGTACAAAAGTTGGATTTTGATTGCAAAAGAGAACAGTGAGTACTAGTAAACTAGTGATTATACATTTGATATCACTCATTTGAAGGGATTTCTACTTGGACATGCAATGTCAAGAGGCCAGTTTATTAATGTTGTAAATATCCTGAAATAATAGAGTAGATCTTGGTAAACAGATTTCCTAAATTTCTACATAACCTCTAAAGGCATGTGTAGAATGATGTTCAGGCTAGAAAAGGACACCAGCAGAAGCCATCATAAAAATGTAACGTTTTGTAACAGTTTTGTTTGTGACTAAATTTGATTGATGTACTGGAAAAAAGAAAAATAAATAGATAAACACATTCTTTGTAAAACATAGAGACTAAGCATAAAATACGGGTCATTCCCAGTACAGTGATGGACTGTAACAACAAAGTTTGTTATGGTTGAATTCATTGTTATCCCCTCTTTTATTGTTTTTGTCTTTGCGGCTCTTTGTCCCTGTCCAAAAACTTTTCGAACTCTCTTGGCAAGCCTCTGGAAAAGATTTGTCCAAATTGTACATGACATTTACTATGATCTCATGAATAATACAGCTAACCAAACATCAATTTCAGATGACAATGCCTGTCTCTCCATATATCAGTAAACAAAAGCTAATTTGTTGGATAAGTGTTTAATGTGTTCATGACTCCCTCTTGTGGTTATTGCAGTTGTATACCACCATAAATGCACCATAATCTATATGTTATTGTGTAAATAATATAAAATTAAATGGAGGTGAAATGTTACCTAGTTCTGCCACGAACATCTCTACCTACACAGTGAACCAATCCATTTGGATACACTGATGTAAAGATCTTTTGCAGTTGTGCTGAAACATAAATAGTACTACAATTTGCATGCAATGACCCGAGTTCTTAAAAAAAAACATATCATATGAAAGAAGGGTGTTATTATTATAAATTTGTTGAAAACAACAACGATTTCAGAGTTTTTCTCTTTTTTATCTCTCTCTCTCACACACACTCACACACACACACACATGCACACACACATTTGTTCCTCAATCCCTGTGGGGCCATCTCATTAATATAATGCTTACCCTAATCTCAACCATCACAACTATACTCCTAACCCCTAACCTTAACCCTTACACTAACACTGTCCTAATTGTAACTCAAAAAGCAGTCTCTACCTGTGGGGACCTTAATATTTGTCCCCACGGTGACACGTGTCCCCATTGGTTTGTGTGCATTTTGGTTAAAGTCCCCAACGGGATATAAAAACACCTTAACTCAGCTAGACATTTTAGGTTTCTCCCATGCAGTACTGATTAATTCCAAAAGGGGGCAGCACATACCAAGTATCACATTTCTTCTCCTGTACCAGGAGTCTCTGACCGTTTCCTCAGCCTAAGGCACATTTGTGTTAAATTAAACTCTTTATAACAATTAAGACTCATTAAACAAACTGCATGTCCCATGCATATCCTGGGTTTCCACTTGCTTATTATGAAAATAATTGCTTTATACATCATTATTTCTCCCTGGGAAATCCTACTGTTTATATTTCTTTCTGCAGTAAGCGTCAAGCATAGAGTCAGCTACAAACCCTACAGATGATTGTGAAAAAAATTCAGTGAATCTCTCAAGGACAATTGAACATTTGGCATTGAACACTGAACCCTAGTTTTCCAAATTTGCACTAACTACACCACCCTGATGCCTCATGTAAGAGCCATATTGATACTGATAATGGTCCTTTAAGTATTCAGGTGATGACGTCACCGCCCTTTAAGCAGACTAGGTTAAGCAGCCCAAGGAGCTACACAGTTTTTGACCATACATACATACATACATACAGAGAGTCTTGTAACTTTGTTGAACAGAAGTTACTGCCTCCGAAGGTTCCTGTGTGTCAAGCTTAAAAGCCAAGAGGACTACTTAATAGTGGTGGTACAGTGCATTGAGAAAGATTGCCACTACACCTCATTTATGATTTCCATTTCAAGTGACATTACTACACCTTTAAACTATCATCAGATGTAGATTTCTTTTTCTCACAAAGAGTGCTGGCTTCGTCAAAACATGAAATAGTTTCGTTATTGTGATTTAGCAGCCCTACTTTTACAGATGTCTGTTGCCGATCAAACATGCCAGGCTGTCAGTGTTGATGTACAATTCTTTGGAATATTTTAGAATCGAAGAGGACATTTTCTCTTTGTAGATTTCCAGATTCAACCTCTCAGATGTTGAGCCATAGAGAGAGGATGGTTGTGGAGCTTTAGAGATGGAAATTATCATGGATCAGTGGGATTGCTGACAGAACATCTCCAAAGGCTAATCTTAAAAGAGCTGGAAGCCACTACACTGGGAGGGAAGAGTCCAGTAGATGCTGCTGGCAGTCACTGCTGACTCAAATAGAGACTCCAGTGGCCTCATGTACCCCAGACCTCTTTTTCACCTGGCTGATGACTATTTGACTATGAATATTTTAGGGAGATTTCTGCAAGAATTATGTCACTGATGCTGTGCATTATAAAGGAACTCAAAAAATGGAACAATGAATTGAAATCAGAGTAATACTTTAAAAGGTCAGGTCAACCAAAAATAACAGTTTTCCATTTATATAGGTCAATGGTGGTAAATGGAATTATAATTTATCATATTTAGACATTTGTATATCTGAACAGCAACATGTCTTTCCAGAAACATGTCCTTGTTACTTTAAATAATGCACAGACCTTGCTGTAGACAGTTGCCAGTATTTGCTAAATTTAAAAAGAAATAGATCCTTGAAAACTTTAGAGTGAGGTCTGTGGATTATCCTGAGTAAGTGGTACATAATTTCTGGAAAATGATGTTGTAGCCAAAGCTTTGCTGAACAAAATCAGCATTTACCTTCCATGTTTTCTTTGTTTTCTATGCAGCAGTTATGTCCTGGACGATATTCTCTTTTGGTAGATGATAAAGGCAACCTTGAAACTTGATCATCTCAACTCAAATGTCCACTTACTATTTTCACAACTTTCAACAACATCTTTCAGTTGATGTTCCACACTTAAGTCACACAATAACACCTGAGCCAGCGCCATTCTCTGATGAAAACTGTAAAATGCAGATGCAAAGCCTGAAAAAGCTAGTAAATTTAACTTTTGAGTTGAGATTATTTTGACTCATAAACAATGAACAGCATTAGAAAACATGAATTAATTAGATTTAGTTGTAGTCTTGTGGTAACCTTAGTATTTAAAGACTGCCACTCAGTTAGACAGTGGTATCTGATTTTGGGTTTTGGGATATTGTTGGTACCCTTTTGTTAACAGTCAAGTCAACCTGACATGGACTGGGTGTTCTCTATTGACGCGATGCACTCCCTGGGCTCTGATTTAAAGGCCAAACTAAAGTAATGAAATCATTCAGTGTTATGGATCTTGGCAAATCAAGGTCACCCATATACTCCAAAGATTTACCATTCATTTCTCTTGGAAAACACAGGAGTTGGGAACAAGAGAGTAAAAAAAGAGAGAGTGGGAGGTGAGGGAGGCAGGGTAAGAATTTATGGTCAGGAAGACCGATGAATGTGTAATTTACCGTGCATACTCTACCATTCCCCCTGCCCTCCCTTTTGGTAATGAGAAACGGCTGTTTTGTTGTGGGGCCAAGGCATGGTATACCCCCTCCCTACTGGCTATGACACACCATTAGTTTTTATTTCTGTCTCTGCTTTTATGACCTCTGCCCAGGCGCCAGCATTTGGCTGGTGATCGGGACAATCACACCATCTAGGTTCTTCCACCTCCCAAGATGGCCTCCTGTAGCCTGAAGAAGGCCATACTATAACTACTGAGAGCTCTTGACTGGGGGTAGATAGCATCATACTCCCATTTGATTCTTTTGTGATTCTTTGAGGTTTTGATTGATTGTCTGTGCCCATAAATTTACGAAGGCAGGCCTGCTGTCAAATATCTCACAAAGTTGTCATAATAGTCTTGACTGACTGAGACTTTCTTCTCTTGTCATGTGTTTGCTTAGTCTGTGAATAATTACTGTTAGTGTTTAATCAATGACAGATGAATTATTAAATTATTATGATCGTTCCTGTTAATTTGGGTCTTCATTAGATGGTTTTGGCTATTATTCTGTTGGTTATGTAACTGTACTACTTTACAACTACTTGTTAAGTATTTGCTGACATCTGCAAACATGGTAACATTGCTACAATGAAATCTGCAAAAACATGAGAAACAAATCAGACTGGCTTGGAAATTTATCCAGATTATCTAAACTACTTTATTTGGAGGTAAAACTGCAAATGAGTGCATCTAAAATGTAATCCATTTTATTTTATAGTACTTTTGTTTAATTTCACTTTATTTGCATAATTACAGTATTTATGTATTTTAGATTAGTTTGTTTGATGCTGTGCCCTTGCCCTTTGATGTCATCCTTCTCCTGTATTATTATCATTATTTTAACACTGTGTGGTGAAGGCAATTTTCCACAATAAAGTGCGTAACTAACTGAATTAATGATTTTATTGGATGTTTGAAAAACACATAACACTGCACTGCAGTCATTATACTGTACATCAAAAATCACAGAGGGTGAAAACACAATAAAGCCTGAAGGGTTATTTCCATTGTGGTCCTCTATTTTATAAGTAGCTAAAGTTTATTGTCTACCTTTGTTTTGTTTGTTATTTTTCTTTCAAAAAGTCTGGCTAACCATTGGGTTTGTTTAAAACCTGTATGATTGCATAACTCCTTTCTTGCACCATCAGGCTCACTGACTTTCCAGATCTCAGCTATTAACTTAGCAAGAGCAATGTTATGATAACCGATAGAAATATAGCCAAAAATATGAAAAATGAGTTATAGGATAACAAAATTATCCACAACATAGTAAAGTCTTCATAAAATGTGTCCTTATGTGTAAAATGTATCATACTGTACATGAAGACATAAAGTGTACCACTGGTATAGAATACCATACGAGAACTTTATATAAATAAACGGTGAATCAATTGCAGAGAAATATACAAAAGTCATTCTAACTGAAATCAAACAAGCTAATGTCAAAATCAGTGTATGGATTAAGTTTCATCAACTTCATCTGAACTTTATTTAAGCTTTCACAGAATAAGCTATACATGATGGTACTAATACTTCTTATGTTTGATGATAAACACAGTTTGACATATTCAGTATCACAATCCATAGTATGAATGAATAATGTAGTGTGTAACTTCTCCTGAAACTAATATTTGTGTAAAGCAAACAGACCCATGGAAAACATTCTAGGAAAAACATTTTTCTCTGTATCTGCAATGTTATGAAGCCTGCTTTTGGAGTATAAATGTGTAAAATGCTATGATTGTTCTGCAACTTGAGCAGTAGGAAACATTATAGTTGTGCAAAATCTTCAGACCCTGTTGCAAACAGACATGATTACTGAGCAGCTGATGATTTGATGGCTTATATAATAATCAGTGGCTTGTAGTTACTGCATATTCGATATATCACCGTGCATTTACATTTCCCTCATATTGTTTTCCAGACCCTATTCCTTAAATCTATGAGACCAATACTAACACACGTGTACAAACTTCTAAGTTCCATCGACAAACAACTTGATTCTATGTGCAGACATGCATTCAAAGTACAGAAACACCCACACTTTTGGTAGAGACAACACACACACACACACACACACACACACACACACTTGCATGCACAAAGGCACACACAAGCAAATACTCATGTTTTTATTCCTCATTTTCTGTGCAGAGCTATTTTCTGATACAAACACCAATGTTTAATTTGAAACAAACAACTAAGCTATCAAATGGCAAAAGTTTGTGTCAAGACACCAGAGGAGGATATGAGCTGAGCACCCAGTAATCCTCCTCTACCTCTTCTCTTAGGCTTGTTTTGTAATAGATCCCCTCGTCAAAATAATATATCGAAGACCTTCTTTCCTCAACAACCACAAATGATTTCCAGTGCCTTTCTCTTTGTTTCATCTCACAATATGATATAAAGGTACAAAGACTTAATACTATTCATTGTCTTTACATAACATACAGCGGCTGTTGAGAAAATCCATCTGCCACCTCTCACAAACATGAAAACAAATGAAGAACAGATTGTGATTTCAATCGCACTGGAACAAAATACATCATAGACCAGAGGAGACTGAAGAGAGCCTTCATTCATTATCAGACATCCAGCTTTAATGCTGCATTTGAAACAGGAATCTGTTCTTAGTTCAAGAAATGACATAGGTCGGTTCATTACACGAACTGTGTCGAAGCACAATCTTCAATGTGGCTTTGCAGTCCAACAGTGATCTCTCACAGTGGAATGAAAATCAACAAGTCTTTCTGAGTATCACTAAGACACCAGTATCTTCCAGATATGTTCATCTATTCAAAAAGCTCGGAGGAGCCTTTTGCGTTGCAGCAATCCTCCAGTTCTCTTTGCATCTTCAACAATGCATAGCAGCATTTATCCATTCCTTCATCACTTTGATATTTGCCTATGGCAGATGCTGCTGGGTGAGGCATGTCTGTTTTTCTCTCAGCCCCATCCAGCAGATGATGGAGTTTAGGAGACAGAGCTGGTTGTGATGCTGGAAACAGTGGTGGTCCTGCTCTGACTTTTTCTCCTCTTCCCTTCTCCACCTCCTCCTCCACCTCCTCCTCCTCCACCTCCTCCACCTCCACCTCCACCTCCTCCACCTCTACTGCCATCTTTGCCGTCTCGTCCTCGCCCGTGTGCACTGTCCCTCCTGTTAGGATCATCTTGTCGGTCTCCCTTAGTCTTCCTCTCTGAAATGAGAATGCATCGAAAAGATGATTAATGGGTTATACTATGTCTCAAATAAACTCTTGAAAGATGTCATCATCGGATGTTGTATGAAGAAGTGCCTCTGCTTAGCTAGAGGCGTGTTTTGGATCAGGACTTGTGGTTGTGTGGTTTTTAATACAGGCAAAACAGGTGTAAACCAAGCACATTCGAATTATTCATACGTGCCAACATGACGCAATGTTTAGCCATATTAGTCATTCGGTTCACCACTTTGGTCTGGAATGAAATATCTAAACAACTGTTGGATCAATTGCCGTGACATTTTGCAGAGACATCCAAGTAATTTTGGTGATCCTCTGACTTTTCCTGTAGGACTGCCATGAGGTTCACATTTGCTGTATTGAGCAAAATATCTTGGCAACTATTATATGGATTCCCTAGGAAGTTGGTACAGACATTCATGTTCCCCTCAGGAAGAATCGTAATAACTTTGTGATATATTGGTGATGCCTTAACCTTTGCTCAAGGGCCACCATCGGGTCATAATTCTAATGTGTCCAGTACTTTGGTTTATGACCAAATACCTGAAAAATGAATGACCTTTCCATCAGCCTTTACTGAACTTTGTGTTTAGTGCTAAATGTGAAAGTCATTCTGATACACCAAATTAATATGGTGGACTTTAAATTAATATGTTGGACCTTATACCTATTAAACATCAGTGTGTTAGCATTGTCACAGTGAGCATTCTAACATGCTGACATTAGCATTTAGCTCAAAGCACTGCTGTGCCTAAGTAAAGCCTCACAGAGCTGCTAGAATGACTGCAGACTCTAAGGCTTGTTACTTTCTGTTTCAACAGTTAATCACTTAGTACTCCCCAGGTTGGTACTCATGCATTAGGATTCACAGCTGGCACACATTTAAGAGTATAATTGCACTCTAAATACAAACATCCATCACAGTGTGGTTAATGTCCACACTGAGAGGAAAGAGCTTGGCTCTGCTGCTGATTTTAAAATGGAGCACATGTATAGACTGTAAGAGCACTCAGGACAGTCAAGTGACACAATTTTCTGTCACATAAATCACTCTAAAATCACCTCTGGCCTAATGAGTTAACCATTGTCAAGGGCCCAATAATGGCCCATAAGTACATGAAGAACTGACACAAAGTGGAAATGGACATTGGGTCTAGTGTCAGATGGCTATGGTTTAGGCAACACTCAAAATTATTCAGTTTTGTATATCTGAGAGAGTGTAGCTATGGTGGAGGATGCTTGTTATAAACTTGTGCATTAAGAGTCTCTGCACATCCTGGAAAATGAGTGAACACATGCCAAGGGCTGGACAGTGTTCACTATGCAGTTGACAATAGCAGGGTTTATGGCGCCACCATGTTTGTCTACTGCTATGCAGTAATAACTGTAGGTCTGTGTTTATTTCCCTACCAGCATTTTCAAACTTGTCATACAAACAGTTTTGATTCTTTGGTTTAAGTGCAAAGTTAAGAAAAGTCTATCAAAAACATGTTTCTACACCGCCAGTGAAAATCATTATACGGTGATGAAGTAGAGTTGTAGTTGAATGTGGACAGACCTAACACAAAAACATTTATTCACCGCAGACCCATGCAGAGTCACAATTGTTTTGGACTCAACTGAAAACTAGAAGGCTCAATCCCACACAGTAGTGCGCAAACAACTCATCTTCAAGAGCCATTAGTGCCAAAATCATGAAAACAATACTGACGTTATTTGGTGAGTTCATATAAGACGATTTTATGTCCAGAATGTTCATCATTTATGTGTTGTCCTGAAATAACATAAATAAATATTCATATTTCTAAAGTTTTATGAGGTACATTCAAACAAGAATTTAATATTGAGCAGTCATAGTTTCAATTTATATCAATGAGGCACAATGAACGAGAGCGAAGCCTGAGTGAAGTAACGGGTCCTCACACACACTCTGCAGCATCTGAGCTGATGTGCTTACTGTGTAAGGACTTAATTACATCTCTAACAAATCACTAATGGAGCCAAGAGAGGGGGGACTCCATCAGTTTATGACAGCCCTGATTGTACATCCTCCCCATCCAAGCTAAACAATTTTGCCTGACAAATGCAATAACACATCCAGAAAATTCTGTTTTCGCGTGAGACCCTTTTGTGGAGCTTCAGGAAAAGGGGAAAAAAATTGCAGCCAAATCAACACAAAGCGTGAGATCTGCAGGCCACTAAATCACTAATGTTATACAATGTCTGCCCCCTGTGTTTTATATAGCCAGCCTGCCAGCCAACTCCCACAGATTAATCCACAGCTGTGCTCTTTTTGCAGTGAGTGAGATTACCCACATGAACTGGTTTACCGGAGTCATGGTACCATTACCCATGAATTACCTCACAGAGGAAAAATCATTCCTATGCAGCTCATAAAAAAGAATTTAGCAGCAAAATAGAGGAAAAACTGAACTTAAAATCTACTTAACATCAACAGTTTCACAATCCACAAAGCTTGTATGACTCATCACTTGTCAGGTGACACCAGACGTTATCCTTGGCTTTCTGGTATGACCTACCTACACATAGCAGTTTTCATAGGGTAGTTTATAATATTTTACTGTTAATTATTCTTCTGAACTCAAGGCTAAAATTCTCTACAGGATTCAGGTGTCATAGAGAGTAAATTTGCTTCTTATTTCTGAAATGATGCTGTCACATGCCCTAAAAGAGTAGTTTCAGAGTAGAGGATGGTGCCTGAATATGCAAGCCTCCTCCATGTTTACTCACATATATCCAGGGATATCATCTGTTACATGTTGCAACATCTGTACAGTTGCCAACACTGTGCAAATATTGTTATGCAATGTTGCTGCTGTGCCCGAAATCCCCTAAGCGTGCCATCGTCCAATAAAGGCTTTAAATATTGCTCGTTTACAGTTCTCTTAGTCCTTGTAAATAAGTGTAAGTTTCCAACTTTGATTAGCATAATGCACATTATGCAAAACAGTATTAGTATATGGTGACATTTAGAGACAAATAAATTTGCTAATGACTCTTCATTAGCAATAATCCCTTTGCAACCCTAGCTTGGATTAACTGTTAAACAGCTCTGTTTTATTTCTGTGTTTAATAAAGTTTATCATCCCAGCACCACTGCTGGTAAATTTTTTCATTATTTGCCTCACTACTAAGGACAAAATTTTTACCAAACAAATAAGCAGGATCATTGCTATTTTGTTGCACTTTTATCCAATAAACTCTGGACCACTTGGTTAGATCCATCATTATCAAATTAGCTGATCTGTCAGCTAAGTAGCCTTAGCTGCAAATGAGGCCAAGCGCGACTAACAAGCTGTTATGAAAGTTGATAATGGCCATTTACTGGTGAGAATGACTGTTAACCTGCAGGAGAACAAGCTGCTGTGTGGATGATAAGAGCCCAAGCAAACATGTCATGGCCATGTAAACCTCATGCTTCAATGGTCTTCAGAACAAATAGCTCTTTCTAGCTCTGATCCATGTCCAGCTTTGCAGTGCGTAATGCCCGCCCTTCATCTGTTTGGCTCGTAGATGTAGTTTATTGTTTACATGCTGAGAAGTCAAGAGATTCTGTATCCTTTTGTGAACTGAGCCAAACCAAACCCAATCAACACACTGCGGGTCACAGACACACTGGCGGGAATATAAGCCTTTGGATGTTGCGTAATGGTTCCATCAGTCACCATATTAACTGGTAGAGACATTTCATGAAGCACATGGACTAGTGGAGTATGGTACATCGTAATCTGAGTACTGCCATCTGATTATAACCATTATTTATTGTACCTTTAAATTAGAAGTGCTTACTATAAATAATTTCCTCTTCAATGTATCTGTTAATGTAATTTTATATGTGTTTATATTTACCTCTCACACAGGGCGCCTTGGTCACAACACACTTCCTTCTCTCTGTCTGTGGAGCACAGGTCTGTGGGGGTGCAAAGGCCTGGGAGGTGTCTGAGCTGTGGACCTGTGGAAGGGGCCCGCGAAACCGAGACTGTGAGCCTTTCTTAAATCCACATGTTTTGTTCTTCTTCATACAGGAACCCCACTGGCTCCACTCGCCAAGTTCGCATTCTGCAGTACGCTGACCTGAGTAAAAAATGGGACAGAGACTAAGGTAGTGATTCAATGGTCAACGGCTCCAACATTTCACGTTTGTCACTTCCTGTCTGCTTTTTTACAGCTCAGCAGTTTCAACAAATGAGAATTTACAAATCCGAAAGTAATTTCTTTTTGTTTTGTTTTTTCACTTTTTTAGAGGGACAGATGAAGACAGTTGCTATGAAACTGACAAATCATATGAATATTAAAGCAACATTATGTATTATATATATATATATATATATATATATATATATATATATATATAATATAACAACATCATTTTGATGGTACACTGACTTATAATAGGTTGAAAGGAGACTCTGTCATTGCCACTCTGTGCTTGCTGCGCTAGTTACTGCACTTGCTACTGCACACCGACTCTTCAGTAAGCTATCAGAAGAATCAGAGCTGAAAAGATGGAGGACAGATGTCAAGCTGGTCTTCTTTCTGTTGGACTAGTAAATAATAACTTATTAGCAGGCTTGCTATCTCTTGTTTGATGTTTTGCTGTGTTAGCAAAGTTGTCAACTAGCTATAGATCTCAAGTTGATGTTAGCAAAATTACTAGATAACACACTCAGACATCTGCAAACGTTACTGTAAGCGCTCTTGAGTCAGTTGCTTTCTGGCTTTGTTGGCTAGCTTGCCACCCAAGTTTCAAGCAACCTTATACTGCTGCAGGTGGAGAGCGGCGCCACAGCCGGGCGAGCATGCAACATAACAGGGCTTAGCAGCCTCTATAAACATAACGTTAGCAGAGGCGAATAAACAGAGGATGTTGACGGAGGAAGCTGAGAAAAGAAAAAGAGAGTGGCCAAGCAAGAGGCTGCTGGATGTTGGCAAGAGATTTTTGAAATAAAAGGCTGCAAAACAGACACCAAGCTGGCATTCTTTCTGTATACACACTTATACTAGTAAGTAATACTGTTATGTCTTGTGTTGTCACACTTTCTTGATGTTTGGCTGTGTTAGCAATGCTGGCGATTTGTTAGTTTTTGATCATAATGTAACTGTAACAAATACACGTGTACAGCTGTCCTTTTTACAACATCAGTGAATTGCACTCTGAAATTTTAGGGGTGCCAAATTCCACAAGAAGCCACATGTTACATAATGTTGCTTTATGCATACTGCACTCATGACAAAGGCTAGTTTTTATGTTCAAATTTATAGTCTTGGTGGACCAGCAGGGTCAACTTAAAACAACAACTAATCCCAAAAAGTCTGTTCAAGCCTCTAGGTCACAGTGTGCCAAGATTCCTGGGTTTCATTGTTAATGCTGTTGTTTGTAACTTATGACAGAAGTATTTTCAACAACAAAAAGTAAGGAGAACAAGAACAGAAGGGAAAGTTCAAGAGAATTTGTGATTTTTACTTCCAGTTTTCCAGGTGAGACAACATAGATGGCTATTCAGATGAAGTGATAATAATGGTTGGGTCAACATGTGGGTCACATTTTGTGCTGCTTCAGTAAGTGAAAGGCACTCAAACAATATGTTAAGATTCATTACAGGAGCGCTAATAGATACTATGGATAAAGTTTGAAATGAGTAAACGGTTAAGATTAAAGGTCACTCACCGACACACTCCATGGTCTCATTGGCAGTGTGCTGGTCTGGAGGGCAGCTGACATAACATCGTCCACTGTGTGAATACATGCCCTCCTTACATTTTGTGCAAAAATTGCGATTAAAACACGCTTCACAGTTGTCTATTTTACATTCTGAAAGACACAGGGGAGACAAAAAGAGAGGATATAATCAGTTAAAAACACATTGACTCTGGTGATGTGGTGTTTTCATTTTATTGACTTCAAATTTTTGTTCTTGTTCTGGAAAATTTCTAGTGGAACTAGAAACCTCTATTCTTTTAATAGAATATTCATTGCATTGTTTTTGCAGGGAGAAAAGAAAATGGTTCTCCAGAGAGAGGACAAGAGGAACTTGAATTTTATTTCCTCTGAGAGATTTATTAGTGATTTAACAACAAGGGGTCTATGTAGGGGGAGTAACACTCTTTTCTTAAAAACACATGCACCACAGGCCATGTTTTTTGGAAAGCGGGTGTGAAGCTTCAGTGGGTTTCTCATGAGTGAGTTGCTCCACACCTCACACTCATTAAAATCTTTAACTCTCCAGTCAAACAAACAACTTCTTGAAATTTGGGTAATTGCAAACACAGGAGGATAAAGACCAGAAATCTTAAATAATAAAAATGATCTTAAAAGACTCCAAAAGGCTTTGCTTTCATCTTGAATGGCAATTCCTTACCCCCTTAAAAAAACAGTGAAGAGAAAGAGGGAAATCTGTAAATTCCTGTCATTATTTCTATATGGCACATTCAGATCTAGACTTGATTGCATGTGTGCTAAACCTAAGAATGTCTACTCTGCAGCTGGCCTGATGCCAAGGTTCAGAATATGATCTAAGGCTGAATCCACACTGGGATCTTAATATTGTTAATGTTGCCTCCTGCTCCCAATTACTATTTTTAAGCCAAACAAACAGCTAAATTTGACAGCACTGATGTTTGCAGCCCTATAATGTAAGACAAATGTTGCTAACAAGACATTCTGGGATGGCAAATATAAAGTCTGATGATTGGATAGTAACCCAGCTTAGCCACTGAGAGCCTCCGAAAAGAATTTGCATAGGAAATTCAGCCCTTTCTGCAACGAACCAGGACAGTGAAAGAATTCTGCAACACGTGGGATTGAATTTGTTGCAAGTTTTCCAATATTTGGATAAGAAAATTACAATTTTGGAAATAATTCAAATTGTGTCATTTGCATTGCTGCAACCCTCACAAGAAAAATTATATCTATAGATATAGATACAGATAAAGATAAAATCTATTTATGTGTGGGTGTAGCTGCCCACCAACATCTACACCTACAACTACCTTGAAGCCACATGAGGAAATACTTTGAATTATTATTGAGATAATAAATCTTTTACTGTGCAAAGAATAATCAGTAGTAATTCTAGACACGCTCAGATTCAAATAAACCTTTTACGTAACTACTTCAGAGACTATAAATACAGACTGTATTTTGATAGGTAGTAAGGGTGTATTAGAATAAAATATGTGTAAAAGTGAATGCATAATAAACATGGATTGTGGCCTGGCATGAACCCTGCACATGAAGGCCAAATATAAAACACAGAAATCCTTTAAAAACAGGAAACAACAATGCATTAGAAATGTTTTTGCTGGGATTTTGTTCTGTTTGTTCTGTCCTGTTTTTTCTGCACATGCCTAAGGGGAAACAGACGACAGAGACTGGTAAAGTCTGTCGTCTGTCGTCTGTACAGGACTGGTGCCACCAGAACCAACTACATAAGTATGGTAAGTACTGTGAATGTGACCACCCTTTCACCCATATTCCAAATGAGCCAAACCTGCCTTTACCCAATGAATACCTTCAATACAAAATTCTACTGACTTTACTCCAGTGGCTACGTTTGCACAGGGATAAGTAGCACCAACAGAAGGATTTCATCAAGTGGTATATTTATTTATTACACTTGCATCTTGTTAGTGTGCTTTCAATTATAAGGGGATACAGACATTTTATTCACTCTCAAACATGAAAAATAGTATCAAAGACTGGTTAAAAAGATGAAGCAATGTGAAAGGACATAAAAGACATAGGAGGATCTTTTTTAAACACAAACTGGCAGTGTAGCAAAGTGGAGATATAAGATAAGCAGAGGGATACTCAGTTCCTCCAAATATCATTATTGTACATTAACAGGAGACGATGAGCCAAAAACTAAACAGATCGTTTACACTTTTGCAAGGTTGCTTTGACATCAGTTGTGTGAATTTTTACAGAGTGGGCTTTTACCAACAACTTAGCTCGAGCCTACATGTATTTGAAAGAGTCCAAATGCATATCGACAAATCTAATGTGCCCACTGATTCTGTTGGTGCACTGTGGACTTGAAATGTTCCTTGGTCAAGAGTGTACAACACAAAGTAAAACTCACGGGTGCATCTGTTGTTGCCTTCTGGGTTCCTCATGCCAAAGTATCCCATGGGGCAGGAGGCGAGGCAGACGCCTATCTGACGGATGTCATTGCGCTCCAAGAAGATGAAGAGCTTGGGCTTGCATTTAATGCAGCCATTATACTCAGAGCATCTTTCACAGCCTTTGGGGCAAGATGGTGGCCCCTCAGTACTAACTGTGGAAACGTAAACAGAGACAAAGGATAAGTCAGGTTGAGGTAGGCAACAGAACAGCATGGTGTATCATCACATAAGACGCTGACATTTCCAGCCAGATATGATTTTTTAATGAGGAATGAGGACATTGGTCAGCATTCTGCCTATGAGAACATCAGGGAACTTTAACATTTTGCTGGCATCTCCACAGATGCAGCCAAAAACCTGCCTGCACTTCATCACTCCAGCAAGCAGGGGTTAATGTTTGCAGCTTAATCTAACCGGAGGCCAGGCCAAATGTCTTTGTTTGAACAATTACTCACTGTTTACTTCAAACTTCTTGCCGGAGATCCTTTACAGATTTTCTTTTGGAGAAACCTGGGTAATTGGGGCTGACTGCCAACCAAGAGCCAGTCAAAATCAGTCAACTTGCACCCCACACATCTGCCACTGGGGTCAGTCACAAATGATCTGGGCATCAGAAAACTGCAAAGGTGACAGACATGGCTGAGAATTGAACACTGCCGGTGTTTTACCAAACAGCAAGTATCCCCCCCTAAGTCTGAAAATGCGCTGTAGATGCATTTACACTTCACTTCCTTGTAATCCCAGACTGTCATTAATCCAATTCCCTCTTCTTCCAAAAAGGAAAAGGCACATAAGCAGTAATATAAATAATTTCTAGGAAAAGTGTGTCAAAGTGCACATCCTTTTTCTGGGTGCCATTCAGACACAAAACCCCAGTCATCTGAGCTGATTTAAAATTCCCCTCTGTATCCGCTCTAAATATACATACTCTGACACAGCAGTCTTCCCGGAGATAAGTCGGGTGGTAAAAGTGTTAAAAGGGTTCTCCCATGAACAGACTACCCCATATGTGAGTAACAGTAACCTGAAATGCAGCAATTAAAGCCAGGTTTTAGTGCTCACCATGACTAATAACAAAAAAAGTAATAATTTCACTGGGGAGTAACCACTGTAGACTCTGGTAGGGTGAAAAAGTTTTTGCTGTCGTGAAGAGCAATATGAACTTCTCTCCTCTCTGATGGTTTCAGTTTGATCTTTGCATGACACTGAATTCATTCAGAGAGGGACCACAGAAAGGCCACAGAGAAGAAAACAAGTCCCTCTGTTGTCAACTATTTGCCTTCCAGGAGGGATGGTCTAGGAACACACTGAATCTGATGACATTGCCTCAACTGACTCTGGACTGTGATGCTGTAGAGGGCGCTGATGTATATGGTGAGTGACCCAAATCCTTCTGTCCTCATTAAAATGGCACATGACAAACTGTGACAGCATATGAGGTCATTGTGCATCTACATGAGTGTATATACAGCAAAAGTTTTTAACACACAAATAACATGATTTTCTTTCTCTCCAGCTTGTGTGATTTCAATAACACCATCTGTTACTGTGGCCAGTCATGGTATTATATGAGTTCTGGTTCACAGAGGTTGGGGTTGAGTCTGGCATTGGCTGAAAGCTCCTTGTGTGTAAAGGAAGAATTATTTCAAAGCTGACAGGAACACCAGCACTGAGGCTCTGAGGCCAGAGATATACTGCAAGTCGGCCTGAGCACCATCTCTATGGTTACGTGAGGTCAGAAAAATGCTTACAACAACACCGGCAACATGGTCCAATTGAAAGCTTAGAACTGTCAGGTACCCATTCCATTATGTGCCCACAGATCACAGAGAGAGAGAGAGAGAGAGAGAGAGAGAGAGACAGAGAGAGAGAGAGACATACACACACACACACACACACACAAAGAGTGATGGCTTGGAGGAGGAATCCATCAAAGCCCCCTCTATAAACAATCCTAATACCCATAAAGGTTTTACATAAACTGAGAGAGGCGTAATCTTAAAAGGAGGAAGAAAGAAGAACCATTCAGGGAAACATTGAACCTAACATAACTCGCCTAGGAAAAACAAACAGGAATGATGAGAAAATAAACAAAATGTTATCTTTACTTTGCTTGTTAAATGTTTATAAGACATCCACCAGTGTGACTCAGACCACAAAAACGAAAGGCAGAAGAAGGAGATCAAACCAAGCTGAGAAAGAGAACTCACCCCGTCTCTGCCTTCTTGCCTTGGAGAGCTTGAGAGAATCGCTGTGACCCATGGAGCTGAGGAAGACCATTGCCAGTACCACCAGTCCCTGACGCATAGTCCCTGTTGCCTTCCCGGCCACGCAGGGTCCCCCCCTGCGACCAGATGGATCAGGGGGGGGGTGGGGGGGTGGGGGCTTCCTCTGCGGGACAGGTGGATCCCTCTGCTGCTGGGACGGACGATCCCTCCTCTCTCCTGTGACACTGCTCTCTTTCTCTGTCTGTGTCTCCTTCCCCCCCCTCTGTCTCTCGGTATCTTTCACTCTAGAGGCTGCTGCGTCTGCAAGTCTGTGTAGTGGAGGGTGATGCTGTGGTTGCAAGTCCAAACAAGCCCGAGGCACAACAAGCCATCAGCTGGTAGTAGAAATGGCAAAGGGTGTAGACAGAGCAGGGTGGAAGGGGTGGGGTGGGGGTGGGGTGGGGGTGGGGTAGGGAGGTGGGGTGGTGGGGTGGGTGGGGGATAGGGGTTGCACGGAGGACGAAGAGGAGGACAGAATGGGGAAGAGATTGTTGAACTTCTGGTGGTTCAACCCATGAAGCTTGGGGTGTGCTGGCAGGGAAGCAGGGAACTCACTGTTTGAGGAGGGTTGGCTGTCCGCGAGTGCCTGAGCTCACAAGCATGTGTCTTTTTAAAGATGCTCTAAGGAGGCACTAAAACAGCTTGCGGACTGAAATAAGTTGGATACAACACATTTGCTTGTACCTAGACCTGCGGAGGAAAAAGGGGGCAGAGAAGACAGATTGAGAACAGTTTGAGGGGAAGGGTCATCACAGATATATGTAAACTAAGATTAAAGGAACACTTCAGCATTTTGGGTAATGTGTATGATATATGTAAAGCTACAGTCAGTTGTATAATATAATATAGTAGTAAAATATAAGTACGATGCATACTTTTACTCCTTAACATCAGGAATCTCTATAATCAGAAGAACTAAACTAATAACTGGCTAATTCAAATGATCAGTCGTGGAATAAGGAAACTAAAAACAGCATTTTAATCTTTTCTTGAATGATGAGTTGAGCATGTTTACCCTTTGAAAGTACAGTTAAGTCAAGTCTCTTGGAAATGCAGCACACTGAAGGCTTTTGTCATATTTGGTGCAGAGATCTTTTTTAGATAGTGTCATACGCTGCCTGTATTTACAGCTCTTGTGTGAAGAGGACACACAGAACATGTTAGGATCTGAGCAATGGGAGGTCCTCCCTCGCAGCTCAATAAAGAAAAATAGGACCATATTTGGCTGTTGAGTTGCTTGTGGCTCTGAATCATACTAAGGACAATGCCATTTGGTGCGTCTAAACATACCAAAAGGCAATATTACATTCTTTGTTAAAGTATAAATAAAAGGGACAAAATCATTTCACCATATTTCTTTTAGCTGAACTGACCTAAAATAGCTGATCATCCAGGGTAGGAATTGTGAATAGGAGGACACAACATACTATCTTTAAAATGATAAATATCACATCCATTTTTTATTTTATTTCTAACTGGTTCAAGTGGGTATAAATAAATCCAAAATGATTTCCAGTCCCGATGACAAGACACCTTGTCTTATCAGAAACTGCACTCTTTGTCTATTATAAAATGTCTAATATTGTGAAACATTAACGTGACATTACTTAATTTCTTGAGCTACATGGAGTTGGATAAAGCCACTGGTTAATTAAAGGCATCTGTCTAAGCCTTTTGTTGCTGAATGAGTCAAGAAAATAACACAACCACACACAACAAATCCTCAAGACTCATATTCAGAAAAAAGGAAGTTATTTTTGTAATCATTACAATTCCATAGCATTGCTTTCACCTAACAGAGGACTGGGGTACTTGTATCCTCTCCTAATTGGGAAACACGCTAGACTTTCTTCCTCACCAGGAGATTATTTACTTCTTAACACTTAATGACTTACAATGTCACTGACACCTCTCAGCTCAAGCCATATTTACAGGAAAGAGCCAAAAGAGTATCACAGCCATTCTTCTGCAGCACCTGTTGGTTACTTGAGAGAGTGATGATTGGAGAATGGGACATGCTAAGTCTCTGGATCACTCAGAACACAACCTTTCCAGCACTGAGTAACTCAAGACATGTGCCAGAGACTCTTTCATAACCTAGCACTCCCACGACTCTGTGCGACCTGCCAAAAGCCCACCTCAGCCCTTCCGTATCTGCTCTCACACACAGCATGGATTGTTAACTTACTGAGAAAACTGACTGTTCGTCATAAGGCCCTTTTTTAACATGCCATCATCTCACCAGGCAATTGTGGTGCTACTGTGGCACCTGTGTGCTTCCAAAGTTCTCTGTCTCTGCTCCCTCATCCATTTAACTGAGTGCCTTTCCTCACCATCAGCCACATTGAGCTGAGGCCAATGAAACTAAGACCCGCTCATGAAATAGTCAGGAGATTAAATTGCCTTCTTTTTAAGTCCTAAGTTTGATCTATCAATTATTCAAGCCCTGAAAGGGAGCTCCCACACTGGGAATGCATTGAACTTGAGAAGGTGCCACAACTCTGAGCTCAGAGTTACAAATGCAACCTGTCGATAAACTTTCTGCCTGTGACTGAACCTAATGGCTTTTTGACATATATTTAAGAGCTGATCATCAACACTGTAATATGTGCCAAAATTCCTCAATCACACTCAAATTGAGAAGATTGTGGGAGGACAGTTGCTGCAAAGGATAAAAATGGCGCACACTTTCATTGTAAGTTGCATGTGGCCCCACACTAACCTCAAATTATTTTTAAGTTGCATCTGCCACATGAACTCCAAAAGTACAATTTGTGGTAAATTCTGGCTTTTAAATGAGCACATTTTGCTCCCCAAATTTGGCTGCTCGTGAGTGCAGCGAACAAAGCAACAGGAATGTATGGGTGATTTTGCCCAGTCATAGTGACCCTTCATGTTCAATGTATTTTGATATTCGTAACATTTCTGATTTGTACATCCAAGCCATAAGTTCTAGTGGTGCTATCCAAGCCCATGATAAAAACAGAAAGAGAAGAATATAAAGAGATGATGAAAGGAGGTGTTGACTGAGGCTAGTGAAAGAAAACAGAGCTAGAGTCATCATCATCTTCCTTGAGCATGAATCCATTCTCTAAACACCTTCTAATCTAAATCTGTAGTTGATAAGTAGCCTGTCCACCTAAGCTATCTATAGAGTTTGAAGACACACACTCTGGCTGCACCACCAGCCCCCACAGAAGCCTCAACCATTCAGGTAATCACATCCTCTTCTCTGCAACTTAAAGAGTTAAGGCAGTGAGTGGTTAAATGGGCAGCAATTGAAACACACATTTGCACCTTCCTCCAATCAAACCACCACAGACTCTCTCATTTTAAGTTTTCATGTAGGACTAAAGCTGCACAGCTCCAGCAGTCAGAGGTTTGATCTTGTACAGCTCAGTTGAGCATAGTTCAGCTTTGCTTTAGAAGCTCTTGCACCATGCTGCAATTACATCTGTTTGCATTAAGTTGCTCTTCATGGAGAAGGAAAATCAAGTACGGTACCACCTGTCCTAAGTTCAACATCTCTGCCATCACCTCACTGTCCTGTTATTTTTCTGCCTGTCACTTTGAAGCCGGGGAGGCTGACATTTATAGCTCAAATAGAGGATGACTAGGAGCTAGTGTGGAGTGTGAGCGTGTGTGCAGACCCTGTAGAATGTAATCCTAGTGAGTGAAAAGACTGTACATAAACTCTATCACATTCTAAAGTTCAGTTTAGCCACTAAAAGAACTGTCATAAAATATGTCATGAAATATGATGTCCCAAACTTAATAACTCAGTATTATTACACTCATTTTGTTAAATATTTGGTAAGTTAAAATGTATTTTCAAGTTACACCATGATGGCAAATAATGGGGTTCTTACAGTCTCAAGTTTAAATGATTGATTATTTGATAAGTTATTGAATAAAATGAATTAGGATCGTTCCAGGCATACAAATAATAATAACAATAATAACAATAATAATACTTCGCAATTAACATATTAAAATTATATTGCAGTACAACAACATTTACATAAACACATTTCTAGATTCACAATAACAAAATTTAACCCTATATTAGGATAATTATTCTCCGTCAGAAAAAACGTTTAAAAAAAGCATGAATGAATAAATTCGAATAATTATGTGTGAAATAAGAATTAACCCACCTGCACATCAGGGTCCCCGAATAATGCGCTGTTCATTGAGTGGTCGGGACTCAATTTCCTTTTTTATAAGAATCCCTTGTTTGGTCACAAAGAACTCCTCCTACAGGATACCCCCATGCAAATTTCCTCTGTCATCATTTTCAAAGACATGATTTCATTTCTTTCACATCTGTCACAACTTCCTAGCAGGCTTTGCTGAGAATGCACAAGACAGAAAAGGTGCAATGGATTAAATTTGTATTCCTCGAGTAAACGCTTATATGCATAAAAAATCATATTCCGATGACATTTGTCACTCAGACTTTTTATTTGGGCTTCTTAAGTCAGACCGCTGTTTGCAATGAAGCTCCTGCGAGCTTTTTAAATCCACTTTGGAGCGTCGAAATGCATCCTACTCAGGCAAGTACTTACAGAGCCGCGATATTTCCATCCAAACCCAGGGACAGCGGGCATTATAGGCCCCACCCCTCAAATTCTCACTGAGAGATGAAAAACCTGCGGTGGACTTGTATATGTGTTGCTGTTTAATGACTAATACCTTATTCAATTAAAATGTATCATTTGATATTATTTGACACCGATTGTTCTTTATATATTGGGCCTTCATCCTTGATAGAACCTTAAATAAAATGCAAATAGAACATAAATTAAGTGAAGTAAAGTGGCTTCCATTTCACCTGTTTCATCTCATCTGCCTATGCTTGATTCTGCACATGCAGGTGGACTTTCTGAGTTCTGGTATAACAACAAATCAAAAAAGCACCTGCTAAACCAGGTAAATACCATAGAGCTTGAAAAATTGAGGCTACTCTGGGCTGGGAAGACACAGAACAGAAACACATGGCATGGCACGGCATGGTGGAAATTACAAAGTACAAAGACAATATAGTGTATAAAGCAAAGAACAAGAAGAGACGTGGAGGGGTTTAATTTAACAAACAAGTTATTTCACATACACCAAGTATCAGGTTATTATATTATTATTATTATATAAGTGGTTTTTAAACATTTCATTTTTGAAATCTGTGATTTTTGAACCCATATGATTATTCAGTGAACACACAGCATCCATGGAAATGTTGTATTTATGTTTAAGGTTATCTAAAGGTTTCTGTCAGCATAATTCTGAGATGGAACAAAAATGAATTCATGCTGCTACTTTACTTGTATGTGTTCATATGTGCTATATGGGAATATTGATATTGCATTGATGAGCTGGATGGAAAAAGAAAGGAAACAGAAATCATAATAAAACAAACAAAAAATTACAATCCTTTAGGGCTTCTGTTCATGTTAACATATAATCAGTATATTTGCACAGTATATAGTACATATTAGAAAAGTCTCCATTTCCTTGTTATATAATAGGGGGCCATAAACAACAATTCTTGGAGATCATGTAGAGCAACATTCTTTGTTTTGAGATTGTGACATTTATCAACAACGTTACGATGAGAAGGACTACTGGATAAACACCAGCTACATTCAGCTACACTTACCCTGCTGAAGGATTTATCATGAGAATTAAGTTACAGTGCAGGCTGTTTGTTTTTTTGTCTAGTCGCCAAGAAATAAACAGAGCCAGAACTCTGAAAATAGCACATCATCACTTCATCTTTATGATGGCTTGTGATGCAGTTTGACGCCTGCCTTAAAAAAATAAAAATGATACTATACCTTAAATCTGAACTGACTTAGTCGAGCATACCCACAGCTTCAGTATGTCTTTTTTGTTCAGGTGTAAAAATTCAAGATATGCCTGGCTACATTATTCTACCGGCTAACTGGTACATTCTGATCTAAATATTTATCAACAGTCTGGGTAACCATATTATTTTGTTGAATTTTAAAAGTGATGAATGCAAAGATTCCTATTGAAGCAACAGAAGGAATCTCACAATACATTATGTGTATGCTCTATTTTAAATTAGGAAGGTAAATGACAAGTGGCACTTCTGAACTGGACAGTTGGACTTCATTCTTTAAGCATTTTGGAGTCACTTTGACAGCCCATTAAGTCATGAAGATGTCCATTGCCTGCCAAGAGACAGCCCAGGAGAGCCATTTAACAGAGCCAGACAGTCTTTTTGTATCAGTTGTAAGATGCTTAGGCATGCAAATATTGCAAAGTCGACTTTATTAAGGTCATAATTTCTCTCATAACCTAAAAGCCAAGGGTAGTAGTTATGGACAATGTAATACCTCCAGGGTAGACTGCAGAGCAGCCCGTTTAAAGAGAGACCCGGGGATTAATGATGACTAATGATAGGTTTATGACTCCAACATTGTGACTGTGCAGAACAGTGAGAATGTCAGAAAAACATAATAATACCACTGTACCAAAAAAATTTAAATCAAAAAGAGCAGATTTTAAAAACATACATTGCAATCGGTCATCATTTAAACTTCACATCATACAGTTTTTAAACTAAGCAAAATAGATGATAGATTGAGCATGTATATGACAGGTTTGGATTTCCCTTCCTAGACATATGTAAAAACAAACCTCAAATGGGATCAGAAAAGATAATTGTTCATTCTGTCTTTCTTGAATATAAAAGGGAAATATAATGTCAAAGTTCATACATAAGACATGTTAATTTGCTTCTGAAATACTGATAATCTCAAGAGAATATTCTCACAATAAGGGAATTCATTCCCTTCTGAAACACTCTGGAAGCCTTACCTTCCATGAACGTCTTTTAAACCTTCATTAATACTCTTTCTGCAAGGGACACAGTGCTAAAAAGCTTCATGACACCCTTCTATTTAATTATAAAAAGCTATTTATGGTTATTGATTATTTTGGGATATATCATCAATTTAAAAGACAATATAAGTTCTTATAATTGTATTGGTATTATGAATTATTGCCCATAAAATCAATGCTAAAAAAAGTGTCCAACCAAAAATATGTCCAAATTTTCTGTCTTGGGTTTTTTTTGTGCTGTTGTCCGAGGTAACTTGACTTGATTGGCTTTGTTTTCAAGGCAGTTAATTCTTCCAACACATATTTTCATACCCCATAAAAATTATTTCAGACTTGGCAATTCTTGTAGGATGTGTCAGACATCAATGGCTGAGTTAAACAGGGTTTTTGCATATTTTGTGTGCGTGCTGTTCTGTGCTGTAACGTGTCATAAACTCCTCATCCAAAAGCTCTTCACATTCAGTTCTCTCGTAATGCCTGACAAAACCACAGCTGAGGCTTGCTCCAAAGTCAATTATCTCCCCAGAAATCTTCATGAACCTGGGCTATTATCATATATCCAGAGTACACACAAACTTAAGCAATAACACACCCATTAGGACAGAAAAAGAATGATTGGCAGGGAACTATAAAATATGAGGAAAGTACTGTGTGTACTTTCCAATGTATTATTCATTATCAAAGCTGAGCCATTCATAGCAATTTCATCCTCTTGGCAGCAACGGCTTTACTTAATAAAAATGTCTGGATAAAATAAAAATTTCACACTGGAGTAGTGTTTTCTATTTTTAAAGAATAAAACCAAATATCTACAGTTTTGGCTAGAATTTTTACAAAAAATGACATGAAAATGAAAAAAAGTGTTAGAATAAAACTCATGGAGGAAGGACAGACTCAGGTTCAGGCTAAAACTTTAACACTGCACATCATTTTTACAAAACGAAATCCAAATTATCATCAGCAATACGTCAAATTGTAGCCTTTACTTATTAAGACCTTAAATTCATAACTGGCTAATTTGAACAATAATGGGATTCAGAATGAAACATATGGTTTGTCAAAAAAAAAAAGTGTTTGGAGCTGTGATCTGTCTGTAATTCCAGGCAAGTATGATCACATTATTGTCAGAAGTGCACAGGTTTTAGAATTGTTTGTGTTTGACAAACAGCAGGCAACAGAAAACTTTGATCATGGAATTTCGTACGTGGGATAATTATTGCTATGCAACCCGATTGTAACTTTATAAGTAAACAAAGAAAAATATCCGGAACTGTTGTTTGTGCTTGTTGTTTATTGTATCACCAGTCTTCTTGTCTACTCTGTCCTGGTGAAGTGCAGACACAATAATCCACACTGGGAGATCACACACTGTTTCTGTCACAGTGTTGATGGATGGATGGTTACACGTTGTAACCCTAAATCTATGAACACTACTGGATACCACTAACAGGACTAGAAATTGGCAATTCATCTTCAGGGATGTTGGGATCAACTGAAAATCTGCATGTTCTAGGGAATGATATGTGTACAATGCATCCAAAGCATACATCTGGGTGTCTTGTCTTTGGTTGTTGTGTGTTCTCTCATTTTTGTGATTCAAATATCTTAATGCACTTTCACTGTAGTTTTCATTAGCAGGTGCAATTTGACACACCAGAGGAAGAAAAGGAAGCATCCAACTCATCAATGCAATATTAATATTCCCATATAGCACATATGAAACAAATATTTTAGGTAAAGACAATAGCAGGAATTTCAAGGAGGCCATGAAGGCCATGGCCACCATGCTCCCTGATGTATGATCTACACTGCAAACTGCAGCGTCTGTTAACAGGGATAGACAGACAGATAGATCCACGTTACATATTCTTTCCTCTATGAAACATCTGTTTCCTCACAGGGCTATCATGAACTGGTCATGGTCACATCTCCCACCCATGTCCAGGGAGGGTACCTCCCTCTTCATCTCCATGCAGTTGTTATACATTATTTCCGTGTTGTTGACTGTTTTGCTGTGGCTGCTTTCACGTACAGTATGTTGTTCAAGTTTGCTGTCAGCTTTAGAGTAAAACATTCTCAAATTGTTTTAAATTGCTGTTAATAAAGTAGATATAAGTTATTCTGGCCATTCAAATGAATACAAAAAAAATTGAATATAGCGCACCATTTAGTCTGACATCATTATATAGAGTGACCTTCTGTCAACACCCCCAGCTGTGACTGACCTTGCTGCCCTTGACAACTCCAAAGACTATGCGGCCTTGCCCCTAAAAAGGTAGAATTGTATGTATTGAATGGTAAAGATGGAAAAATATTCTTCCAAATTCATGAAAGAGTGAAAAGAAGAAAGAAAGAAGTTGTACCAATTCTAGCATTCACAGAATTGGTACAACTGGTTATGGAGTAGTGGTCGTGTGGGTGGGTAAATTTTGTTTAATTGTGATTGGCTCAAAGGGTTACTGCATCATTTGTTTGGATACAAAATGTTTTCTTTCCCTGTCTTTAAACTGATGACTGGCCCAGTCAAATTTAAAAAGTGTATAAATAACTGTGTGCAGTATTTGTAAAATGTAGAATTTTGTGTATGGTTAAGGCTTTTGTTTCAAAAATAGTACTCTAGTTGAACCTCCGTTTCTACTGTAGCTGTGCTGCTTCTGAAACCCTATCAAAGCCATGTTTACTAAAGAAG